TAAATTCTGAAAGTTCCCTTCATTTTCTCTTTGGATTCTGCCTCTTCCCTAATCTCTTCTTTTATTTCAGGGTATTTATTTTAGGGGTGTCAAACTCATTTTTTTCTGGGGACCACATCAGCCTCATTGTTGCTTTCAAAGGGCCAAATGTAATTTTAGGACTGTATAAATATACTCCTTAACTAAGGGCCAGGAGCTCTACATTTGGCCCTTTGAAGGCAACCACAAGGCTGATGTGGCCCCCAGTGAAAATGAGTCTGACCCTCTCTGTATTAGGTATATGTTTGGCTTTCACATTGTCTTCTCTACTTCTGTGAACCCCTTCTAGGAACCTATTTATACATATGCTAGAACTTTAAAGCTGCATTTCAGAGATCCCTTATATTCTTTTCTGTTTCTCACCCTTTGTGTGTGTGTGTGCATCTTAGTCTGAGTATTTTTCATGAACCATTATTCCATTTTCTAAATCTTCTCTTTCTGTCTAGCCTGCTTTCAAACGTATGTGTAGAATTTTTAGTTTTCATAATTATATTAGTTTCAATTCTAGAATTTCCATTCAATTATTTTTAAAATGTATTTAGAATCTAGTTCTATGGTGAAATTCTCCATTGTGTCATTTATTTTCTAGAACATATGAATTATAGTTACTTTGAAGTCATAATTTTAAAATTTTAATGGGTGGATCATCTGTGGATATGTTTCTATGTATCTTTATTTTTCTTTTTGCTTTGGCCCATCTGGTCTTTTCTCTTGGCACGTCTGGTAGTTTTTGAGTGAATGCTGGACAATATATGTGAAATAGTATAGAGATGCTGGATGATACTATCTTCTGCTGGAGAGGATTTAATTGTTTTCTGTCTGGTTGTTACAGGAGGGACCGATCATCTCAATCTAATTAGAAATTTAGATGGTTTAAGGCTAGTTTCGCACTTTGTGAGGACTGGTCTATTTTCAGTTGGCCCCAGCTGAGGACTCTAGTTCTTTTCTAAGACCCTCCTTCCTCATCCCACTTAGTTTTGTAACCTCTTAGCATCTTCTTTCTCCTTAATGTCTTTCTCCTGAACAGTTTAAAATTCTGCAGGTGCCTCAGAGGAAAAATCCATGCATAATGTCAGACTCAACTTCTCTTTTGTTTCCTTTCGTCTGGAAGGTTTGTCCCTCAAGTCCTGGCTCCCTTGGTAATCCTGAACTATAGTTTTTGTCTGATAAGCTCAGTGAATCTCTGCAAACTCTAGGCCATGGCATTCTTATGCCAAACGACCTGAAAGGAAAGCGATGCATTGCCCTCAGTGCATTTTCCTTCTCTCCAGACTCTGTCTCCTCAAGTGCTGACTGCCTTAGTTTGCATTAGCTGATCTCTGATATCTTCAGAGTTGTTCTAGAAGAAAAAGATTTTATCAGATTTTACATCGTTTATATTTTTTAGTGTTTTCTGTACGACTGCAGAGGGTGGGAGATTCAGTGTGGTATAAGCTTACTCCGTCATAATTGGAAGCTGAGGTTTTATTCTTGCGGTTTTAATTTCAATACTCACATTTTCCTCTTCGAAATTCTATTCAGTTGTCTCTCAAATCAGCATCATTGGGGAGTTGTAGTGTCCTATTTTTCTCTTATGTTTTCTATTTTCCTTTATGATTTTAATTATTTAAAATGTAATTATTTAACAGTTTAAATCCTATTAGATTATCTGACATTCTCAGGGCTGTAATTTCACTATGTTGTCTGCTGATTTTTGGTTTACATTTGCTTCTGCTCAACACTGCAAGAGGGTATTAGTGGTTGAGGACCAATTTTTATGTTAATTTCTTGGCTTTAGAATTTCTGAGGCCATATAGCTATTGAATAGTTGAATCCCAAATGTAAATGTACGGAGACATATGATTATAAACTATAAAAGGGGATTTTTTTCACTGTACAGATAATCTTTCTTTTTAAAAATTTTTCTAATTTTTTTCAATTAAAGTTTATGTTCAATATTATTTTATATTTGTTTCAGGTATGCAGGATAGTGATTGCACAATCATATACTTTACAAAATGTTTCCCCAGTATTTCTAGCACTCAACTGTCACTGCATATAGTTATTACAATATTACCGACCATGTTTCTTATGCTGCACTTTACATCCCCATGACTATTTTGTCAGATAAGCTTTCTTGTCATTTTGTTTATTATAAGTGAATGTTTCTTAGGTTTCTTTTTACTTAAGGTATAGAACACAGATAGGATTCTGACTTCATGCACATATATCAGTTCCAATTCTCCACATTATATTACATGGGTTCAGTGTCTTGGCTCTTGTTTCTGTGAAGCCATTAAAGCCAGTTACTTAGACAAGTGCAACCCTTAGGTTTTCCTGTTAACAATCCCCAGCATTCTATTTTCTCGTGGGCTCAGCTGTGCATGTGTGAAGATATCTGTATGCTGTCTTTAACATTTTTGGGTGTTCTTAGGCAAAAATTTTCAAGTTGTTCAGTTTTCCATAATTCCAGATAAAAAAAGTCTTAAGTGACATGATTTATATTGCTGGTTTATAGTAAGACTTAATAAATGCTATCTGTTACTAAATTTCATCATCAACACTATTTTCACAAATATGTAAAACCTGAAAATTTGGGTTATAATATCTATAATAGATTATAAGTGTAACATATGTATAATGTATAATCGATTATATATCATAATTATAAAGCTTTGTAATAATTGGTCTAAAACTGAATATGATTACTGGGTATATGTAGATCATGCTACAAAAACACAGTAACAGACTTCTGGCCAACATGGAGGCATAGTTAGACACACTGTGCCTCCTTGCACAACCAAAATAAGAACAACAATTTAAAAACAAAAGACAACCAAAACTGACAGAAAATCAAACTGTATGGAAGTTTGACAACCAAGGAGATAAAATAGACACATTCATCCAGACCAGTAGGTGCGGTGGAGTTAGGCAGTTGGGTGGAGAGGGATGGTGTCACAGGAAGCAGTGACACTGGGCACAAAAGACACCTCAGGCATGCAAGACAGCAGCCAGCAGACCCTGAGTGCTCAGGCTGCAGCTGGCAGACTCTGGGCATGCGCAAGGCGGCTGGCTGACCAGGTGGTCCCACATTCATGTGCAGATAAACCAGGCGAAATTGGGGACCCAGACAGACCACACAAACCAGGGTCCTGGTGCCGAAAAATAAAACCTCAAAACACTGACTGAAAACACCCGTGGGGGTTGAGGTGCAGAGAGAGACTCCCAGACTCATAGGAAAGTACGCTGGAGAGACCCACAGGGTCCTAGAATGTACATAAGCCCACCCACCCAGGAATCAGCACCAGAAAGACCCCATATTCTTGTGGGAAGCGGCAGAGGTGACTGAGATCAGAGAGTGGAAGCAAGTGCCATTGTTCCCTCTGGGACCCAGACCCCATATACAGCATCACAAATCAGCCACTGGGTTGCCCTGCCCTGGTGAACACCTAAGGCTCTGCTCCTCATAGGAAGGCATGACAAGACAAAAAAAAAAAATGTCCAAAGTGGAAGAACAGATCAAAGCTCCACAGCAAATATAGCTAAGCGATGAACAGATAGCGAACCTATCGGATGCACAGTTCAAAGCACTGGTGATCAGTATGCTCACAGAACTGGTTGAATTTGGTTGCAAATTAGATGGAAAAATGAAGGCTGCACTAAGTGAAATGAAGGAAAATGCACAGGGAACCAATAGTGATGGGATTCACATCAATGGAGTGGACCAGAAGAAAGAAACAACCAAACAGAAAAGAATGAAGAAACAAGAATTCCAAAAAGTGAGGAGAGGCTTAGAAACCTCCAGGACATCTTTAAACGTTCCAACATCTGAATTATAGGGGTACCAGAAGGGGAAGAGGAAGAACCACGAGTGGAAAACTTATTTGAACAAATAATAAAGGGGAACTTCCCCAATCTGGCAAAGGAAATAGACTTCCAGGAAGTCCAGGAAGCTCAGAGAGTCCCAAGGAAGGTGGACCCAAAGAGGAACATACCAAGGCACATCATAATGACATTAGCCAAGATAAAAATGAAGAAGAGAATCCTAGAAGCAGCAAGAGATAAGGGGACAGTCACCTATGAAGGAGCTCCCATCAGACTGTCAGCTGATTTCTCAAAAGAGACCTTCTAGGCAAGAAGGGGCTGGAAAGAAGTATTCCAAGTCATGAAATCCAAAGACCTACATCCAAGATTGCTCTGTCCAGCAAAGCTTTCATTTAGAATGGAAGGACAGATAGAGTGCTTCTCAGATAAGGTCAAGTTAAAAAAGTTCATCATCACCAAGCCCTTATTATGTGATATGTTAAAGAGACTTATCTAAGAAAAAGAAGATAAAAAACATGTATAGTAAAATGACAGCAAACTCACAATTACTAACAACCACACCTAAAACAAAAACAAAAACAAACTAAGCAAACAACTAGAACAGGAACAGAACCACAGAAATGGAGATCACATGGAGGGTTAGCAACAGGGGAGTGGGAGGAGAAGAGGGAAAAGTTGCAGGGAATAAGTAGCATAGATGGTAGGTAGAAAATAGGGGGAGGACAAGAATAGTATGGGAAATGTAGAAGCTGAAGAATTTATGACAAATGGACATGAACTAAATGGGGGCAATGTGGGTGGGAGGGGGTGTGCAGGGTGGAGGGGAGTGAAGGGGGGAAATGGGACAACTGTAATAGCATACTCAAGATATTTTTAAAAAACAGTAATATCTCACCTATTAAAACAGTTGAAAACATTTCACTTTTTTCTCAATACATGTTCTCGTGAATTAGAGCTGTTTTAAAAAAAACCTTTCCACTTCCTTACAGAAACAATAAAATGTGGCTTTGTAGCTTTCAAACACTTAAACATATATCTCTAGGAATGTATATTTATGTGTGAATTACTTCACATACACCATCTATATTATATATGTTAAGATTTAAAAATTTTTATGTTTTGCATGAAATTGTATATCCTCTTTTGTCTTTTTCTAGGAGGATACTTCATCGAGACTTAAAATCAAAAAACATTTTTCTGAAAAATAATCTGCTTAAAATTGGTAAGATTTTAAAAAAATATGTGTTCCAGAAACATGGGAGGGTAAACTATTTAGATGTTATCGATATATTAAATTGAAGTACGTGACACCTAGGACTATCAGAGTAATCACTGGTTTATTTAAAGTTCTCGATTTTTCGTTCTTATTCCACCAGGGCCAGTAAAACCCAATTTTTTTTGTTTCTGATTATCTGATGTAAATTGACACATGAGATATTTGCTACATCCTTTGTAGATCAGCTAGTATTTTTTGAGTTCCTACTCCATAGCAGACACTTTGGGAGTGGTTAGACTTGTTTTACTAGTTTGGTTAGTTACTACAGATTTCCCTGCTTGTTTTATCACAAGCAATTAGCAGTCGTCACAGATAAGTAAAATATTGATGTAATGGCTTTGTTAACCTTTTGTTCTACTTCAGGACTGTATCTCTGCTCATAATCGTTACTGGGTTGTTTAATCTTCATTCGAGATGTTCTTAGAGGGGAAGGTGTAAAAGCAACTAGTTAGGCAAGTATAAAGAAGCTGATGGAGTCAAATTTTTATAGTCATGTTCCTGAAAAGTCTCAAGTCTTTTATTTAAAGTTTGTCTTTATTGTAAATGAAGAACAAACTCTCCCTCCTCAGAGAAAATTGCAAATCATTATGTTCATCCCTTTCAAAACATTGTTTCTTGTTATTCAGGCTTGAAATAGCTTTTTATTTCAAGTTGCTGGTCCTTCAGAATTCCAAAAATAAAGTTTGGTTTACATAATTTACATGACCGGATCAAAGTCTTCCTTCACCCACGAGGCTTATGTTTTTAAAGCTATTCACCAGCATTGTGAAATTTAAAATATATTTCTTTTTCCCTTTAAAATGGTGTGAATCATTGCATATTAAAATTGTCAAATTAGATCCTCAGTTGTTAACTCCCAAGGCTGCTTATCATTGTTTTAAAATATTCACGAAAGTCAATTATTATTTCAAGGGGATTTTGGAGTTTCTCGACTCTTAATGGGATCCTGTGATGTAGCCACCACCTTAACTGGAACGCCCCATTACCTGAGTCCTGAGGCTCTGAAGCACCAAGGCTACGACATGAAGTCCGACATCTGGTGAGTGGGCAGCGGGCCCGTCCAAGTGACTCACTCGTCTGCGGTCCTGGGAGAGCAGCGCCTTTCTGGTTTGAAGATCATTTACTTACTGGATTTATTTACTTTATCCCTTTGAAATCTGAGTCATTTTGTGACCAAAGTAAAAGAGGGTTTTTAAATTTGGAACTTGACATGTTCCGTTAAATTGATTTCAAGAAGTCTTTTTATTGCTAGATTAATTGGTTGGTTTGGCTTTTTTCTTCTTGCACCACAAGGAAAAGTTCTTAATTTATGATAAACAATAAATTTTAATAGGTTTCTGCTGGCCTATTAAATAAAGCATTTGTAATCTTAAACACTGTGGTTTTTTTTTAAATTTTAAGGTTAGCTTTTACCTCTGTATGGAATGTACAGCTTTTCCTTATTTTTTTCTTATTTTTTATTTTATTTTATTTTATTTATTTAAATTTTATTTAGTTATTTTTCAAGTACAGTTTTTTGTCTTATTTTTTATTTAAAAAATTTTTACTAAAGATCTTATCTTTAAGGGTAAACTTACCATATTTGCCATGTATAATGCGCACTTTTTTGCCCAGATTTTTTAGGGAAAAGTAAGGGTGTGCATTATACATGGGCATAATGATTACCTGCCATGGGTATAATAATTCCGTGTATGGGCACAAAAACGTGGGTGTGCATTATACATGGCAAAATGCTGTAAATTAAACAATTCTGTTTTCTGTGATACATGCATCTTAGATTTCTCAGTTTTTCTGATCTCTTGTACCAGAGGAATTCCTCCTTCCTTGTCATGGAACCAGTTTAAATCTCAGCACAGAAAGCATATGAGAAGCTGTATTCTATTTTTAGCAATAGATCCTATTTGGGGGCAATTTATTTTCCTTTGAAGAGGAAACTTACATAATGTTGGGCTAGTTAAGAGTGGAAAGGACCAACTGGCTGAGAGCCTGTTGATTAAGTAAATAGTCATTATATGAAAATCAACTTAATTAGTTCTGAGCTTTCAAAGATGAGCCGTGAGAAAGATTGTGTCCCATTTGTTCCTCTAAAGAGCATTAAGTAGAATACTACGTTTTCTCTGGTTAGGGAAACATAAGCACGAGTTGAGAGAACACTGTCGAGATTCGGTCTGGCTGTGGCAGATGCTGTCCACCCCGTCATTCCCGTTCACACTTGTAATTAGCGATTTCTAGGTTCTTCAGTGTTTTTTTTTCCTTGTTACTTTGTTTCTGTCTGGATGGTCTTTTCCAACTAACCTACAATTTTTTCTTTATCGCAACCTTCTCCCAGCCCTTCCAAAACAATAACAATAACAAAAATAGACCCAAACACAAAGATATGTTTAGAGGAATGAAGGGTTGTTGTTTTTTTTTTAATTTTGCTTTATTGAGCATCTACTATTTGCCAGTGACTGTGTAAAGGCCTTGGGGTGTAAAATCAAAAGTGATTGGATTTCTGACCCTCAGAGGATGTTTTCTTGCTCTTTTTGGAGTACATTTCTTCAGATTGAGAAAACCATTCTTGGGCTTTGGATTGAATTTGAGTTACATTCCTGTATCTCTCTTCATACTTAATTTTTTATTATATAGACACTTAAAAATAGATAAGAATTTTTTCATGATTTAAGATGACATGATACTTCAGAATGATGTTATATCATGTCATTTGAATTAAAAGTAAATTAATTCATAAAGCTGATCATTTAAGCTTTTGTAATAACATGTAGCAAGAAAGCTGGCTCATGCTGACATTTATGTGTATTTCCTTGCCAGATCAGATATGTGTCTCCTAGGAAACTTGGGCACCAGAACACACAGAGGGAAGAGTATAGCATAGTCTTTTTGTCCCAGTTGTGTGCCTTCTTTTTAAAAACAAAAACAGAGGAAACTTCTCCTGGCATTGTGTAAAGAGTTATAGGAGGCCTGGCTGCTGTGGCTCAGTTGGTTGGGCATCATCCTGCAAACTGAAAGTTACCAGTTCAGTTCCTGGTCAGGGCACACGCCTGGGTGCATGTTCAGTCCCAGGTCAGGGTGCCTACAGTAGAGAGTCAGTCCATGTTTCTAACATCGATGTTTCTCTCTCTGTCTTTCTCCTTCCATTTTCCTCTCTCTAAAAAAAGGTAAAAATAGGCTAAAAAAAAAGAATTGTAGGAATATCACAATATTGCTCTAATATTTTAGGCTTGCAAAAATGATATCTAAGGCAAAAACTTAAAAAGCCAAAACCTCCCAAATACAGAAATGCAGGAGAATTTTAATATACTTTTAGCAAGCTTTAGGTTAGCTTTCCTTATGGAGATTGTTGACTATTCAGCAAGTACAAGCTAATGATTTATTATCATTCTGACTCCAATAACCACTTACTATGAATTTAGAAGTTCCCTTGGTCATATCCAAATTTTAAAAAATCTTAGCTGGTGATGAAATCTCTACAGCCAAACCTAAAGTGGGAAGAATAACAGAGAACTATTAATTATAACGGCAGATACATAAGTGTGATGAGTGATATTTGGGAGACATTCTTAGAAACATTAGATTTAGATGGGGTTGAGAATTTTTCTCTGAATCTCAGTAGGTAGCATCTGTTTACATGGAATATTTTCTTAGGATTAGATGAACTTGTGAATACTCAATAGGTATTTTGCTCTAGCACTATAGCAGTATGTATTATATTTATAATGCTTAAATATAATACTAATTATATTTTCATCTGTTAATGTTTGCCCATATATAATCTATCTTCCTTCTGCAATCTGTTAACCCTTTGGGGAGTTGGAAAAAATAAGTGAGAGGGGGATTTTGCTTAGAAGTCTGTGATCTGCATTCTTTTTTTCCCCAAATCCAACTGTGAAGTAAACAAAACAGACTGGAAGAGGATGTTAGTGGAGACTACAGAAGGGAGAGAGGAAGGCCTCTATGAACTTCACACATTCTCCTACTTCTGACGCTCTGTCCATCTTAAAGGAGCTCATGGAGACTGTTGAACATGAGTAAAGCCGTTGGGGTGCAGCCATGAGATCCAAGTGCGGAACTGTGGAGGCTGTTTCCGTACGCAGCCTTTATGGGGTGCCGGAGCAAATAATGGTGGGAAAGGGAAGGATGCTTTGATCACGGTTTTCATTGCCAACTCATTCCCCCCACACCCCAACTGCGAACACTGCCCATGTTCATCTCCCAAACTTTACGACTAACATGGAATCTGTGGTTCTGACCCCAAGAAGAGCCAAAGATGCAAAAAAAACCTATTCCCTTTTGCTATCTCCTCTGCCACCTGGTGATCTCCATTTTCCCCTTTCTCCCCAGTGTTAGTCCTGCCTTCAGATCTTTCACTGGCCTAGTTCTTTTTTTTTTTTTTTGACATTTAAAAAATTTTATTTATTTATCTTTAGAAGGGAAGGGAAGGAGAGAAGGAGAGAAATTTCAATGTATGGTTGCTTCTGGTGCATCCCCTGCTGGGAACTGGTCCCTGCTGGGAATTGGCCTGCAACCCAGGCATGTGGCCTGACTGGGAATCGAACCGTGATCTTTTGGTTTGCAGGCCCGTGCTCAATCCACTGAGCTACACCAGCTGGGGCTTTCATTGGCCAAGTTCTTATGGTATGGAGGGCATGGGACCACCACCGGGGAGGGAGAAGAAATGATCTGCCTTCAAATATTGTAAAGCTCCATTGTGGAAGAAGTCATTAGGACGAGCTGGTAAGAGCAGGATGAAATTCACCCAGATTGGTTTCTAAAATTTCATGGATTTTCCCCAAAACATAATAGTATGTTGGGATGATATGGTGGAAGTAGAGCATTTACATTTCCTTTTAAATATTAAAAAAAATTGTTCCTCAGATACACTAGCCACATTTCAAGTGCTCATTGGGCACACGTAGCTACTAATTATTGCATACAGAATTGCTGCAGCCCCTTCAGGCCTCACCCTGGGGTTTTCTTGCATTCACCCAGCCTTTGGATTGGGCAGGTCCTCCACCCTTTTCAGCGGCTGTTCTTAGACTGGTCCACTGTGCTTTTCAGTGAGAACGTTTTGGCTATTCGGGGTTCTTCTGTTTTGAGGCCCTTAAACCCCTTCACTGATTCCTCCTGCTTCTTCCCACACGGCTGCTGATGCTGTGCAGGTGATTGTGCTTTGTCTTTGCTTGCTTGTATTTTGAGATCAGAGGGGACACAGTGTCCTCTAAATTTATTGAAAATGTTGGCCATGGTTTTTGGTTTTACTTTCTAGCTGTTCTCTCTGTTTTACTTGGAGAGTCAAGAAAGATGCAGAAACAACACTCTCAATGTACCACTATTTTCTGCAAAATACTCAAAGTCAGCATTTTAACAAAATTTCCACATGCTTTGTATGCACGTTAAAGCTTGGGAAAAACCGATAGAGGTTCTGGCACATGATAGACCCTTAATAACTGTTGCTGTGTAATATTGCTCCTTAAATATTAGTTCAAGCAGCCCAATGTCTTTCATTTAGATGTGCTTTATATTGATATTCGATTTCACCTAAGACTTTTATTTAGAATGACACACACTAAAGCAAAACTCACTAGTCCTATATTAACTTGCCCATACTATTTATTCAACTGCTTAAATTATGTGTATTTGCTTCTAGATGGATATCAGGATGATCCTCCATTACATGAAATAAAAATATGTATTACTTAAAAGATCTGTATAGCTTTCCCAACCACCAGAGTCATGCATTGCTGTGGGGTAGGCTTCTCTTTGCAGAGTCTGAGCAGATTTCAAAGGGTAAGTTTAGTTATTTTGAGACAAGACCAAAAGTTTGAGCTACATTTGCAATTCATCATCAGTCCGTGCTTCAGAAATCCTCTGGGCAGTTCTGGTGGACTTGAACAGATGGCAAGTTTACAGAGTTCAGATGTGATGCGCTCCCCATGCACCTGATCCCAGCCTTCCCTCATAGCTGCACTCACTCCCTTGGGCGTTTATTTGCTTGCTTCACAGTTGGCTGTATTTTGGAAAAAGAAAAGCATGCAGATC